ATTACGCTTTCATCCTCCTTTAACAAAATACTTCACATTCATCCAGTTTGTGACAGTAGTTGTAGCATTTTTGAGACTTTGAAACTTGAATTACCGCCGTTGCCCCCCCCCAACTTCCAACAGGAGTCATTTGGGGGGCTCTTGGGAAAAAAGGTTGGGAACCCCTGTACTAGAGGATATGAATACTAGTGAAATTCCTCGATTCTTGATACCAATACAATGCTACTGTAAAAACCAAACCATAATTCAATGTGCTTCAGCATACACTTAATTGTTGGCAATCTCGTTTTTGTTAAATAGGTAAACGGGTCATATCTTTTCTATATTGGTGTGAAAACATTACTTTTTCTACCTTTTTTCTCACTAAAAGTACATTTAACAAGAATACAATGAACACATCATGATAAGCTTCTTGAAATTGGATTTCAAGTCAATAGACTTCATAATGCAACTCTAGGAGCCTCCAATGACCAGCTGCTGACGGCTCTCTCTGAATAGGTCCCTCCCCCTTGTAACTAACAATGGAGCATCATCAGGGCTGCGTCGATAGGGACTTTACTGTTTCCCAAAAATCATTTAGTATTCTCCCAGGATGGCGTTGGGGTTGATTCCTGAGGTAGAAAACTGAGTACCATCACATTTTGGCATCGACTTGTTTCCAAAATATCAATTCCTCATATATCCCTAATACTTAGAGGCGTTTTTAGGTTAACTTAACCCTCGGGTATATCAACACAAAATGCCCTTTCAGAGTGATGCAACATTATTTAACAGCACCACGAACTAGAGCTTTCTTATTGTTTTTTAGTCGTCCTTACAGAGGGACATGTTATCCTCTTTCTTTTGGTATTATCCTTTACATCCTTTGTGTGTGTACATCACTTTTTGTATTAAGCAGAAACATAATTTGTGTATATATATATATTATATTATATTATGTAAAGGACAATACAAAAAGAAAGAGGATAACAATTCATAATCCATACATTTGTATATATTTCTTTACATAAAATGCCATCTTTTGAAACTGAACTGACATGGAGTACTCCTTGTGGTCTACCAATGCCTCAAGGTGTGCATCCATGTACCATCATGTTTGACATGAAGGATCAGCAGCTCTTTGAACAGTTCCTCCTTTAGCATTGTGAACAGAAGTGATCCACAGCTCTGAGATCAGTAGGTCATGGAGGGAACATATCCATGACTTGAGACTTGCTTTCCATGGTGTTATGATAATATTTGTAGATATAATGGTATAGAAATGAAAGTAGCTGTTGTTTAAAGTGTTCATGGTTATGGAGAGCGAGAAACTAAAACTACGGAGTTACAAAAAGAGTTTTAACAAAAGGTAGATCATTAGAAGAGTACTTCTGACTCTGTTGGCTTTGGTTTGACCCCTCTCATGTTTCCTCCCCAGCTGGACTGGGCTGCGTTCGGCGTGATGACTCTGCCCTCGATCGGCATCCCTCTGCTGCTCTGGTACTCCAGCAAGAGGAAGTATGATTCACCGAAGGCCAAGAAGAACTGAGAAGACGAGTGGGGGAGGGGGGGTGGGAGTCAAAGGCGTTAATGGGCACAGGATCTCTGAATAGCTTAACCCATATTGGGGTTGAAAAGTACAGTGACCAAGAAACGTAATAGTGATTTGATAAAGAAAGCGGCGTCAATAAGAGAACTTTGAACAGGAAGTAGAACATGGTGAACAGTTTTTGGTTTCCAAACCATGACCGTGTACAGAGCGCTCTCTGTTCTCACCTGATGGCTGTTCCTTCACATCTGAAAACTGCTTCATGTAATGGAACAATTGCAAGTAACACCATTTTGTAATTGTGTAGCTGAATTCAGATTTGAAGTTTATCGCCAGTTATTTAACTTCAAGAGAAATGTAATAAAACGGGCTTTTTTTTTTTCTAAAGCTGTGTCTGATTTATTTTGGGGGTTTTACATTCCTACCTTTACCATGATAAAGAAATAAGAATAATGTAACCCTGTGCTTTGGAACACATCATGCAGTCAGGACATGTGAATAAAAGGCATTGTTGCAGCAGCAGGGAGAAGGCAACTCTAAAGAAGAAGTGAGATGAGAAACAGCTTGGTTTCTCTCTGAGCTGTTTGTGTCGTGACTACATTACTTTTCTCCAAAGAGACTTACAATAAGTGCAACAACCATAGAGATTCAAACTGAACAACAAGGAAAGTGCAGATATATTCACTTCAAGTCATACCATAGTACACAGACATGGAGGCGTGTGGCGCAGTGGATAGAGCCTTGGTGTTGGGACCAGGGGAGCACAGGTTCAAACCCCACTGCAGTCAGCATGTCGTTGTGTCCCTGAGACACTTCACCCCAAAGTGCTCCTGTGGGGATTGTCCACAGTATTGAGTATGGAAGTAGCTTTGGAGAAAAGAGTCTAACATGTGATGTAATAGTGCTGTTGAATTATTTACCAGGCCTAAGCTGACTCTTTAAAGTGCCTTTTTTTAATAATACAGTTCTTATCAATTGAATGTTCTGAAGTCTCCAGAAGTGGCTCCACATTCAAAAACTACTTGGGACATAAAAGTTGGTTGGTTATAAAAAGCAAAAATAATTAAACTCTTAAAAAAGACATTCTACATAACATTTACTTTTGATGCTTTAAGTCATCAAGCTGATAATATTCCAAGTAGTATTTAAGATTATTCACAAATTGTGCAGAATATGTACTGTTTTAGTATTTTCAGTATTTTGATGCTAATACTTTTGTACTTTGACTTAAGTATTTGTTTTATCTCAGGACTACTTATTATTATGAGACCATAATATGTTATACTTTTACAAAGGATCTGTCAACTGTTTCCACCTCTGGTTGTGACTGACACTCTTCATGTAGCTCATCTACCTGCTTAGAAAAGCCTCTGGCACTTCAGCTGCCATCCCTTAGTCAATATATCACTTGATGAGAAAAGAAGAAACCTTAAAGATGACCTTAAACTCCCAAAGACCCCACCTGCCCTGTTGTAGTGTTTTATAATAAAGTGTTTATTTGCAGCCATGTTGCTTGTATAAAAGCTGTGCTGTGGAGCATCTAAAGCAAAACATACATTTTGTAATCCATATTCTAACATAAATTGTTTTGTCAAAGCAACATTTTGACAGTCAATGTACAAGAATTACAAAACGTTCGTAAAAATAGAAGAAATACAAATTAAATGAAAATAAACATAACAAATACAGACAATATATACATATTCTTCTAATATACATTTATTCTGAAGAGTATCCACACACTATAAAATACTGTAGAATACATTAGAATACTCAATTTTATATATTGGTATACAAATCTACTAAAGGGACATAAACATGGTGTACTATAAAAACATTGACACACTAGCTTTTAAAATACAATCTGAGAGTGAGTGTATGTAGGCTACAACATGTAAATACAGTATGTGGAAAAGAATTCAGAGATGAAAGTCAGAATTCTGAAAAAAGGTTATTTATTGTTTTCTGATTTTTTTTTTTACTTTTCACTTCTCAAAAACAAATTCTCTTCCGTTAATAAGGAAATTATAAAAAAGGAAAAGTGGAGTATTTACGGTGAACGGAGGGGAATCGGACATGACGGCCCAATCCCAAACCACGCCCGTCACCCTACCCCTACACCCTACCCCTCTGTTTGCGCGTTCGCGCGGAGGATCCGCCATATTAAGTGCTGTTCCAAACCAACGAGTGTGGAGCGGTGTGGAGGGGGCTATCAAGCCCTCAAACTGCGAGTCTGCATCGGTGTTGACTGGAGATTGGTCTCTACCTGACCGGTCTCAACGCTGTGTGTGTCCGTCAGGAAACAAGCTGTTAACAAGTAGTTCCAGCAAACATCCACTGATAAACTGCGATGTTAACAACCTCATGATAACCTCATACGCTTTTAACTTAGGATAATACCTGTGTTTAGTCTAGAAAAAGGTAAATGTGTGCATTTTATTATAAAGTTGTGTATATTTACAGACTGCAAAAACTAAGAAGCCTATAAACATCAGGTTTAAAACTAAAAGAGCTTTACAAAAAGTAACACAATGAAAGATT